GCTGTTTGTAAAATTGTCAAACTGCTAGCTATGACTTAATGCTAACCTTCAAAATGATATTTATTGGTTTTGACACTACAATAAAACAGAATCAAATTTGATGTGGCACTTACTCTCGACCCAGGAGGTGTGAGTTTGGTTTGTCAGAATGTTCTTTTATTACCCAGTTGTTTTAAATGAGAACAAATTGGCACTTGGTATATTTAGATAATTCTTCGACTTTGTCTGCTTTGACCTGCATTCTCAGTATGATTTTTAAAAAATCGTTATATTGGAAAGTCTTGCTTATAAGCTACAGATTCCTCACAGTGTAAAATTAGTCTCTAACATTAGTTTACTTTATTGCTTTACAAAAGCTGGAATTAGATCTAGAAACACATCTGTTTGGCTCAATTGGCAGCTCTCTGTTCTCTGTGTCTTAACTGTTGTAGATTCAAGTCCTAAACTGACCGAGGACATACTACATGTTTGACTGTTTTGTCCTTTAGATGGGAAGTTAAACTAAATACCCATTAAAAACAAAAACAGAAGTCGGTGGGAATGCTCAGCAGGACCATGACCCTTCATCAGAATAGGGTCATGGACCCAAAACGTTAACTCACTTTCCTTTCTCCATAGATGCTACCTGACCTGCTGAGTATTCCCAGCGACTTCTGTTTTTTTTCAGATTTCCAGCATCTGCAGTACTTTGTGTTTTTTTTAAATACTCATTTGTTTGTTCTAGTTGTTCAGATAGACATTAACCGTCCCATGTTGCTATTTGAAAGACGAGTAAGGAGGTCTTACCACAATTCCTCTCTGCCCCAAATCTCTCCCCCCTGCCCCCCCACACACATAGAAAAATGGAATATTCATCCCATTGCTAATCGTGGTGCAGATTAACTTTTATTTTTCCCAATAACTTACACTGATAAATCACCATTCACATAGTGGAATATCCTGAAGCATTTTAGAAGTCTGAGTGGGAAAACGAGCTTGGAGGGAGGTTAGGGGAACCTGGTGGAAGACGCAGTCAAGGAGAGGCTCTAAAAGCTGAGGTGGAGGCATTGGAAGAGAGTTCCAGAGAGTGATGGCATAGTAACTGAAACCTCACCTACCGATGGTGGCCAAAGTGGTTAGTGCCAGAATTGGCAGAGCTGAGAGATTAGGCAGGTTTTGGGATCACAAGATATTGCAGAGGTAAAGTCATGAAGTCATTTGAAGGCGAGAACAAGGATCTTAAAATCAATCCACTACACTTCAAAGTAACTCATTGCGAGAGGCATTCAGAGATATTTTGTCATGATAAGGTGCTATATAAAATGCAAGTACGGAGTAGAATTATTTATTCACGTTTAATGTACTGATTTCAGTTAAAATGCATAACCAAGCGATGAGTGGATAATGTAGCCACTCGATTATAATTAATTTTATTCATAGGACAAGGTGGTTTTACTGAGCTAACAACAAGTTTGCAAAATATTTACAGTCCACACAGGTTGATCGTTTCAAGTAATGGCAACATATGGAGAGGCTCAGAAACCTCTCATTTGAATGCCATTAAGGACAATTAATAGGCTGGATGAAGAATTATAAAGACCTGAAGTTTCCAACAGCAGGTGCCATGTATTAAATATTTTCAAGTGTTTATGCAGGTTTCGTTCGTTTTGCCGGTGCTAAGCTTCCGAGTTTGTACATCTCCGTCTGGCATTAATCATTAGTTACCATAGAAACCTTGAAACCAACTGAAATATTTTCAGGAAGTGAGATCTCAGCAGTTTCCTGGCCCAGTCATGTTGCTGTGCCATTATTGTTTGTTGATGTTTTTTGCATGTCTTCCTGTGTTCTCTTGAAGCCATTGTATTATAGATTTTTCTTGGCATGTCTGACTCTATCGAGCGGGAAGCACGGATGGAGACAAAGTCTAGCCAGCTTTACCTCTGAATGGCGCTTAAAGTGAAGCTGCAATATTAGTCCTGAAAGACGTAGGCTACTTCAAAGTATAATTATGCAAAAAGCTGATAAGCGTGTTGTAAGTTAGAACATTTTAGTAATTTTTATGACAAGATTTAAATGCACTGTGTCTGGAAGTATTTATAGTTGACCGTACTTTGGTTGAAAAGATTACATCAAAAGATTGCTGTCAGCCGTAAAATAGCAGTATTTTTCCATTGCTACATTTCTCTCCTGCCCAACCCCCCCCATTCCCATCATTATTACTTCATTATTAGTCAACTGACTTTAAAGTACACGTTCATAGATTTATACTGCAGAAAGACTATTGCTACACTTAACTTGTGTAGTCTTGGTAACAGAGCGTTTTAGAAACTTGGAATAAAATTTATAATAAATGCAAAAAAAAACTGTTGTGTAATGCCTATTGTTACATTATTATTGTTGTCGCTTCAAAGAAATGGCTTAATCTCACCATCGCATAATGTGGTATTGCCCTATATAAATTCCCCTCTTCTAAATCCAGTTCCCAAAATGGGCCTGTACTAAATTACTGCTGTGTTGAATTGGAGGCAGGAATTAATACTGAAATGTTCTTTCCTGAAATGTACATGCTCAGCAACTCTATTGTTAGTTGAAAGGAAATGAAGTGAATGGGTTCATGCTGCCCTCCTCGGGTAAATTGTCCTGCTTTTTACAGAACAAATTCCTCACTCAGCTGATTCAGTGAGTCTGCTTCTGATTTTCTTTCAATACAACTGATAGATAAAAGCTTCCATGCATTGCAAGTCCTTCGTATAATTTCTCCAGTAGACTTGCAGTCAAAACCACGAAGGGAAATTGCACTGGGCTATTCGTCTCGATTCTTTGCTTTGGAAATGATTCATTGTTACCTGGGCCAGAGAGGAAGAGGAAAGAGATTCCTAACTCAGACAAAAATAGATGCCTGATACGCGGAAGAAAAATGTGGGTGTCCGCAATGGTATTCAGCACATTATGCTTAACTTCTAAACCAGCTGGCAATCATGGAGACTGATATTGGAAAAAATATTCAATTTAGTTAAAATGTGGAAAAATAAATTCTTCTCCCTCTTATAGGAGAAATTGATGCAGTATTTTCTGGAGAAAAATGCAACTTAACATTAGAATGTGATTTTATAATCAGTATTGAAATTACATGTTCTTTATGAACAGAGCACAGTTGATTTAAGTTGCATGTTTTAGGTTTTCTCCTGTTAACCTTGCAAACTAATGCCTTATGGATAGAGTAGTCCCAGTAGCTGACACTCCAATACAGTGCTGAATATGTGCTGCATTGTTGGACGTGCTGTTGTTCAGATGAGACGTTAAAGCGAGGCCACGTCTGCCTATCCAGATGGACAGTAAAGATCATTTTCTATTTGAAAAGAAAACAGAATTTCTCCCAGTGTCCTGGCCAACAATCTGCCCCCCAAAAATGGTCATTCACTTCATGACTGTTTGTGCTGCATTCGCCCACAAAATGCATAGTCACTGCACTTTACAGTCTATCCTGTGAAGAGCTCTGGGATGTCCCCTCGACATGAAACGTGCTATACCAAATGTAAGGATTATAAATGACCGCAACAACCTTATAATCTGGAAGTTGGATGTTTTTTGTGCAAGTGAGCTGGCCAGTGTGTGCATGCAGTCCCTGTATTTTTTTATATATACTGTGACTACCACATTAAAGCGGGATCTACTGCATTAGCGTTATATATCTGAACACTTGTGCATGGAACCTCCTAGTGCAGCATACAAGTGAGCCAGCTCATTCAGTAGATTTTAGAAGTGAATTCTTAAATCTGTTTAAAGTGGTTTATGCCGCTATGATTACAGATAAAATCATCTTTGTTTTTTTTCCCACAGGGGCAACTGCCTGTGTTAGCAGTCTTTGACCAGGCCTGCCTCTTGCCTGATGATGCAGAATTTTTCTTTGTGTATGAGGGTTCACACCAATTGCATGTGGCCATGGCACAGCAACTCAATGCTTACACACTGGAGTCAGTTATTCCAGGTGAGTGCACACAAGCAGAATGGATCATGCATTCACTTTCTGTACTGAAGAAAATGCTTGTAAAAATACCTTCTTTTAACCTAAGGTTTGTTTCATTTGAAGTCTAAGCAAGCATCTGAAATGTGAATTTAGGTTTTGTTTCTTCAATTCCTGCTACAGACAGTGAGGAATATCAAGACTTGGCTTGTGATCTCCATTTTAGGAGAGTGGCTACACATACCAACCATAATGTTCTTTGTGCACAGGATAAACGTATTCAGTGGAGAGAAAAAAAGTTGGTGGTTTCAATCCCACGCTAAAACCTCAAGCTGTCAGTTGCGTGTAATGAATTCTGTCTGACCATCATTGTAGCCTGTGAGGAGACCCACACATCATGTTATAATCAATCCATTCAGGTCACTGTTGGGCTGTGGAGAAAGCCAGAGTTTTGATCAGGCATCTTCCTGGGTGTGAAGGACAGTGAAATGCTACGAAGTGAGGAGGGGATTAAAGATGGACCAATGGATCAAACTTGGTCTATTATGATTTCTAACTGTATTAATTGTTCCAAAAATGAGTGAGGATCCTATTACACAGAACTCTGTTTTTCTCCGCACAAGACTTTTCTTGCCTTTAATCCACCTTTAGTTTGGAGGTGGGGGGTTTTCAATGTATAGACGCATCCACAGCAGTTATCATGACACAGTGTGTTCACCTGTTGGGAAGTTCCCATGTGGATGGGTGACACCATTAACCCATTCAAAGATTTATATTAAATTCAGTGTAAATTGTAGATCATTGTTGGGATTCTGGGAAGTAATTTGTAATTTTGTTTAATAATCATAAACCAGTTGAATTAAAACATCTTGATTTTTCTACTATTTGAATTCAGAAAATAGTATGAATAAGCTTATATTTTGATGAACTGCATTTACATCATTCTAAGATGGCTGCTTTATTTTGCCATCACACTTGGTAGTTTTGGAAATATATCATATGATTTTGATTATTCTTTTACAGTATTAATATTATATTTTAATTGTGTTGCTTACAGGTCACGATGCTTTGGAAAACGTAACATTTTTGGTTTGCGTCTACACAAAGGAGCATTCAATATCTGTCCTTGGCCACAGTGATGTCACCTACATTCAGGATTTAGCATGTGAACTGGCTCAGTTTATGGTTAAACATGTTGACACAACTGCCCTTACCAGTCACCTTATTATACTTGAGCAATATGGCTTAACTGTAGAGGAAATGCAAGCATTAGATGACCAAATGACAGCAGCCATGGGACACTTAGAGATGCCACCTTACTGGAACGTCCTTGGAAAGTGGGCAGGACAAGGTACAGCATATATGCAGTTATTATAATGATTCTACATACTTACCAAAGGCGTTCTTTTTTTATTTAATATAAAAATCCCATCTGGGGTTAATAGAATAGAATCTCAGCAACAGCAGCAACAACTTGCATTTATATAGTGCCATTCACGTGTGGTAGTGTCTGGGAGCCTCATTGTTATTGGGCAATAATTGCGTATCCATAAAATTCCAACCAGTCTTTACAATGGCTGTGATACCTGGTTTCATGGTATTTGTGTGTACCATAGCTGGCTCACCTCCTGTAGACCCAAGTTCAGGACATCAGGTTGCCACTGGTGCTGCTTCTTGCGCAATAAATAACATTGATTAGATCTCATTTATAGTATTCAGTTTTGGGTGCTCAGCCTTAGGAGAGATACACTATTGTCAGAGGGCAATAGTTTTTCACTAGATTAATACCTGCGATGAATAGGTTTACCAGTTATGAGAGACTGGGTAAATTTTGGCTTGTGTTCCCGTAGTTAAGGTTGTCCTTTCCCCCACCCCTGCCCCTCACCCTCCCCGATCCCGACCCCCAGCTCGGGTCCGATGTAATTTTGTTATTGTTGTTGAGGGATGGGCTGACTGAGTTGTTTAAAATAGTGAATGGAATAGACGAGCTACAGCTTTTCCCTTTGGTAGAGAGATGTAGAATAAGGGGACATAATCTTAAAATTGGAACAAAAACAGTTAGAAACCACGATTGAAAAATGTTCTTCACGCAACAACAAGTTGCATTTATATAGCTCCATCACCCAGAGCAGCATCTCAGAATGCTTGTAGGTTAACATAATGTGAAACACACATTCAGAGCAGTGGAGATGGAGTATTATTTTACACACACATATATATATATTTTTAAAAAATAAAAATGAAAACCTGTCTCAGTTTGCCTGTCTTTCTTTGTTTCCCAGAGTCGATCTGTAGGGAAACCCTGCTGCATGTTTCAGTGCGTTTGGGCCTTTCTAAATTGTCTCAGTTTCTGCTGTGCCAGCCTGGTGGTATCCAAGCTGCTATTGTGTCCAACGAGGAAGGAGAGACACCTGTGGGCCTCGCTTTGCAGAATGGGATGCAGGAACTTGCTGAAATTCTCAAAGAGTAAGTGATTTCCTTCACAAGAGATTATAGTGAATAGTGTTGACCTGATGTGAAGTATCCCTGATTTCCATTTCTAATTACATTGTAGTAGGATTTATTTAGGACAGAATAATTGAATGAGAACAGGCCTTTGTATACAACTGTTATCATTACACACTCTACCTAACGTGTATACAGATTAGCTGAATTTATTTTGATAAACAGCCCCTTCCTCTCCCAGATTATCATGCATTTGTACTTGAATATACATCGTTCAACTCAGATTTCTGCTTCCTTCAGACAAATGTCTCCCTCTCTCCCACACACACAGGGACCTCTGCACTATCTGAAAAGTGAAAGGAGTTTATTCCAGTGTCCGGTCTAACAATCCCAAAATAAAAAAATTGGTTACTTACTCCTTGGCTGTTGTGAGACATTGCTGTGTAAAAATTGGCTGCCACGTTCTTCCACAAAAAACACACAGTGCAAGCACTTTGAGATATTTTGAGGACATGGTAAGGCCCTATATCAAAGGCAAGGATTTTTTATTATGTTAACTGAAAGTGGGGTTTATTTCCTGCGTGCTGTGCACTATGCACATGAAGTGCCACTAAAGTGATGTCAGTGGGATCTGACGACCTGGAAGCTAACCATTTTTTGGTTGTAGTGCTGTCAGTAAGACATTAAACTCAGCTTACAGTGCTGTGGATGAGGGTTCCCTGTATATATGTATTTTTTTGAAGACATTTAAATCGTCCCTACCTCAACTGCTTTTGTTAGGTGGCTGCCTTATGATACAATTTATACAGTGTTTTTTCGTGACGCACTTTTTTCACATAAAGTTGTTGGGCTGTGGAATGCCATTCTTGGAGTGACGGTCCATGCTAGCTTTCAAAAAGGCAACTAAGTAGATATGTAAAGAAGAAAATCTGCAGGGGTATGGGCAAAAGACAAGGAAACAGGACTGAATCGATTACTCTTTCAAGGATCTGAAGCAGATATGATGAGCCGAATGGCCTTCTTCAGTGCTGTGGTTCTATCTCTGTAGCGACTGTCCTTTGTGAAATACAATATGAATGTATTCAATTGGAGACCAACAAAAAAATTGCACAATATTTTTATTCAGTATTTTGCATCTGAGTGAATTTCAATATTGGAATAGTTCATATGGGATACTGGTGAGTGTTATTATCAAATACTTGTGTATTGTGCAAGTAGGAAGCACCACATAATAATTCAGACCCTTGTTCCCTGGACACGAGACTCAATGTAGCACCAAGTTGCATTCTGAGAACTACACCTCCTGTAATGTACTACACATGATACTTAGCATGTTCTGACAATACCCCTGTCTACCCTGACTATAGCAACATGTGACAGCAGTGAAAGGCAACTGAATGGTATGGTTTGCAAATACTTGCAAATACTCTTAAGCATACTGATGAGTTTCCACATGTGGCTGACCCAAAAAAATTCATCCATAATGATTGACATCTCAGTATATTCAAAATATGTCCTTCTTAATGGTTTCTGAGCCATATCTTTGAAGTTTCTGATCAGCACATTAACATTGTTCCTTGTAAGGGTCAACAGGCTAATTTCCAGACGGTAAACTGATTGTTTTGCAAAATTTCACACACAGCAGGTAGCACAGGGCTGCTCAGAGGAAACTGCAGCATTCCTGCATGTTTAACAATTGTTTGAGTTGTACAAGCAATTCCTCCTTTTCACGGCCCTTACAATCATCATTTAACCTTCCGTTATTTGGACAGTATTATGAGAACATTGGACTACTACAATGTTTGTATAGTTATTATTTAAAAACTTAACAATCTGAATGTATTCAACTGGAGACCAACAATAAAAATTGCACAACCTTTTCATTAAGTATTATGCCTCTGAGTGAATTTGAGCATTGAAGTTGCTCATATGGGATACTGGTGAGTGTTGAACACATGGTAGTGTTTGACACTCACCAGTAATTGCTATCAACATCTCCATTATTGTAGCATGCGACTACCAGAATGGTGGAAGGCGAACTAAATGGATCTTAGTCTTTTTTCATCGAGCAATTCCTACGTTCCTATGTTTCTATTTACTTTTAATAATATTATAGCTCGCTTCAGTGCCAGACACCCAGCATGGAGGAAGGAATAAATAAATAATAATCCTTGCATTTAATATAGCATCTTTACATCTCAACATCTCAAAGTACTTCACAGGATATACTGTAGAGTTGGATAACTATTTTTGTGGGCAAACTCGACAAACAATATCTGCCTCTAATGTCCCACAAACAGCCATGGAGTGATTGACCAATTTTATTTGGGGGATTGTTGGCCAAAACACTAGGATAAACTCCCTTTTTAAAATATTGCCATGGGATCTTTAACGTCCCCCTGGACAGACAAACAGGACAACAACAACAACAAGATTCCATTTATTGAGCACCTTTCACGTCGGGAGGACGTCCCAAGGCGCTGTACAGTTGGGTCAGGACCCGAGCAGGGGGGAAATGGTCAGGGTGAGGGGAGTATAGGGAGGGAGCGAGGAGGGGGTAGAGAGTCGAGAGGGGAGCTGAAGGCACGGTCAAAGAGAAAGGTCTTGAGACCGGCCTTGAAGGAGGAAAGGGAGGAAGCGGCGAAGGCACTGGGGGATGGAGTTCCAGAGCCTCGGGGCTGAGAGGCTGAAGGCCCGGCCACCGATGGTAGGGCGGTTGGGGCGGGGGATGTGGAGCAGACTGGAGCCAGAGGAACGAAGGGTACGGGCAGGTAGGTAGGGGGATAGTAGGTCGGAGAGGTAGGAGGGAGCGAGGCCGTGAATGGCCTTGTAGGTGAGGATGAGGATCTGGAATTCGACCTCAGTTTAACATGTCATCCAAAGGATGGAGGTGACAGCTTGGCCATATGGTCCATTGAACCTGTTATGACATTACCATTAAACCCTTGGCAGCTCTCCGTTTCCCTGCCTTTTATCTGTATCCCTTACTATCTTATATTCCAGCAACTATCCCTCTTTTCAGTGCCTTTGTTAGCTCTATCTATGGCCTTTTGAGAGAGGCTGTTTCATGTCTTCACAATGTTTTGTGTAAAGAAATATTTTCTGAATTCCCCTCTTCCAGCTTCTTAGCTCTGTAATTTAAAAGTTGAACTTTATTCTGCACCTAATCCTATTTCAGCTTAATACTGATATAAAAACATGGAAATTGCTCCATTCGCCATCTTAATCAACACAAAAACTCATAGATATTAAGAGAAAAAAGTATATTGGTTTAATATTGTGGAGTCCTGTAGCTCAGTGGTTAGAGCACTCGCCTTACAAGTGAGACACCTGGGTTCAATTCCAGGCAGGGCGAAACCTTGGGCAAGTTTCCTTACTCCACACACCTAATAATAATCCCTCCAAAATAAAAAAAACAATAACAAATTTGGCATTTTCAATCCACGACTGTTTGTGGGACACTGCTGTGCGCAATTGGCTGCCGTGTTTCGCCCAAAAATATACAGTCAATTCACTTTACAGTCTATTCTGTGAAGCGCTTTGAGATGTCGAGAAGACGTGAAAAGCGCTATATGAAATGCAAGGTTTATTATTTTTATATTGTTGAAAATTTGATTAATTTTGAATTGACTTGGATTTCCAGCTGAAGGAGTTTTTTTGTTTTCTAGCTTTGTATCTTATTTTTACACGCAAGCAGTTTGAGTGCCTCAATAAATAAAGTAAAGTTTCCGCTGAAATATGTTTTATCTTTGCGGCATTAATTCAGCCTCAAATCCTTTGTGCATGGGTCTGTTATCTCTGCTGTTTTGACCATGAACATAGCTGTTTCTCTAATTCTCTCTAGCCTTGATTTAACAGTAGGACCTACACTAACTGATGTAGGTTGTTTTGAACAACTGTTCCAAAATGGAAACAGACTATCTTCATCGTTAAATCAAAACGCAAGAAAAAGAAATCTGAAGGCCAATAACTTAATCTAAAACGTAGGTGCAGCAGCCTCTTTATTTTGATGTTCCAAATTCTTGCTACCATGTTGAAAACAATAACATTGCCTCATAATCAACACAGTCCAAGAATTTTTAGAATTTCTACATTTAAGAACAAAAGGTTGATGGAGGTTAAACTGAAGAAAATATAACTCATTTTCAATGTACCAACTTGAAAAATTGTGTTCTATTTAAATCCCATGGAAATTTATAGAAAAACTAAATCTAGCATCTAGAATAGAGAAAATTCTAATTAAGGTGCTCTGAAAATCTCTAAACTATATACTAAAATTTGGAACTCATCCTTTTTTTTACATAATAATAATCCCTGCATTTGATTATAGCACCTAATCACACCTTTGAAAGTCTGTGCTTTCCAGAACATACTGTATATTTTGTGGGTGAAAAACAATGAAGTGAGAACTATGTTGAAGTGCACGTAACACAAGATTCCACTTATGAAACTTTTCAATTAATTTAGACTGTTCATGTGAAAGAAAGCTCTTTTGGACCTGCATTAAATGCTTGTTAAAGGGAACTGAGAAATATAATGGGGGCACATTATTGCCAATAGAGAATAATGCAGCTCCTAACATTGTGAAAGGCTGGACTATAGCCTAATATCTTGGTTTGATCTCTAGCCAGATTGCTTCACTTAACAACCCCAAAGCAGGTGGTGCATTTTCTATAGCATCAATTTAATTTGATAAAACTTGGAAAGACAGATAAAATACAGCTAAGATTAAAAGAACCTAGTTCTTTGAGGAGGTCCCAAAAAAATCTTCCTTTGATGAGCTGCTTACACTGCTGGAAGCTATTATTGAGCGTGGAGCTAAATCTATGTTTTGCTCTCCTCATCCCACTGGTCAGTGCCTCAGGTTTGTTCTGTGTTTGTGTGTAACTGAATGTACTTCCAGATCTTGGTGTTAGGTGTTTTTTTTAATATTTTAAAGAGCTGGTTATTTGAATGGGTCTTCAGTAATATTAAAAAGCTATTTGGCATTTGGCACCGATTATTAGAGTTCTACATGCAGAGCCATCAAAATACAACATTTTGGATGGTTTCCCCTTCAATAAATTTCCTCTAGCTGTCTGACTTGTTCAGAGTGAGCTATTAAATAATTATTTCAAAACTGCCAAAAATTAAATGTTTGTATTGAAAAGTATTTTTCATTCAGTTTTTTTTTCCTTATTAGTTCACAGAATTCCCAAGTTACTCCCTCAATCGGAATCTCTACGATTTTTGCTGATAATTACTTTGTACAGAAGTGCCTTCATCTACCAAATGCTTTTGTACTGACTGTGGAAACCAGCACAGAGCAGTCACTGGAGACACGCATTCAGCTCCTGAGAAAACACATAGAAGATGACAACTCACAGAAAGGGGTAAGACAAAATGATCTCGACTCCTTTAATATTAAAAAAACAAACTTGAATCATTACAGACTGTTGACTGATCTGCTCAGAATGTAGTGAAATACTTTCTGTCCGCGAGCAAATAGATGTTGAAGGGTTTTAAGACCCATCCAAGCTTGGATGCACTTGTCTAGACCTCATAGTTTAATTCCAAACAAGGAAACCTAGTGTATCTGACCGTCCCAATTTAAATCACACTGTCTGTACACTGCAGTCATCTCCAGCTCTGCATTAAATCAAAACTGAACTGACTAGACAGAATGAAAAATAGCAATGATTATTTAGTTCCAGGTTTGTACTATTTTTGCATTTTAAAAGCTGAAAATAAATCTAGTACCTCATCCTGTTATATTGGCTTCATCAATGTTGCTATGAAATTAAAACGATTCTGTGGGCTTGATGGACAAATCAACCTTCATTGATGTACCTCCAAAAGCTTAGAATTTCTCGTGGATTCAGCTTTAAGACTGTTGCTTTAAAATTTAAGATTGCACAAAATGTTAAAAATTCCTAAATTCAGTCTTAATAAGGAGACCAGTTTTGCACAGACCTTCAAACTGCTTCCAAATTAAGATTTTTCCAAACTAAAATATTTGTTTCTTATATCTAGTGTTCTGGCTTCTATCACCCTTCCCATAAGTTGTAATGCTATTGGCATAACAACAACTTAAATTTATATAGCGCCCTTCCAGTGGGATAGCATCTTAGAGGCTTAACAGAGATATGGGGGAGATGACCGTTGGCATGGTCGAAGATGAAAGTTTTAAGGCGCGCTCTAAATAAATAATCTTTGCATTTGATGAGGGATCAATGCAGAGGGATTGAGGCAGAAAGTTCCATAGTTGGGGCGTTGTGACTAAAGGCACGGCTGCTGATGGTGGAGCGAAGGAATGAAGGTCATGCAGGTGACCAGAGCTGGCTGAGCAAAGGAGGCGGGTAGAGACGGTGGGGATAGTGCCAGGGCATGAAGTGATTTTTGCATGTGAACGTCAAAATCTTGAAATCGATCTGTTCTGTGATACAGTGGTCATGGGTTTGAATTCTCCTGTGGCATTTGTGTAGTTTGAATTCGAACTGTAAGTCATTCAGAACATTTGATAATTTGAGCTTGAACCAGAAGAGCTATAGGAACCCAGATGGTTTATCAGTGTCCTTCAGGGAAAGCAAATTTGGCCATCCTAGACCCTTACAACATAGTTGACTCTTGACTACCCACTGTATGGCCTAGGAAGCTACTCTGTTGTGAGAATTCATTCCGAAAATGTATACTGAAAAAAATCGACAGATTAATCAGCAGCAACCCAGGCATCAAACCCAATTTCTTTTCCTTACTTAACAAAACATTAGGGGAGCAACATTGCTTCAAGCAGTCCGGTGGTTTAACAAGCTTCTCAGCACAGCTAGGGATGGGTAATAAATGCTGGTCTTGCCACTGTTCACACATCCCGACATAGTGACTAAAAACTCAACTGATAATCCATTCTAGGTGTTGATTGTCTTCTGTGTTTAAAACAAAGTTTCCTAGTGTTAGTCGCAAACATGATTCTGAGCTCTCCTCTGAAATTCCTCTTCACAGTGATTTCCATCTGTCCAAGAAATCCAGTGTTGTTGTTTACAGTATCTCTCTGGTTGGCAAGGGATTGTTTGATTAGGTTGTTGTGGATTTGCATCCGTAGTAGCTGACAGCAGTCTCTCACTGTTTGATTCCATCCACTGTCAATAAACACATGAGAAACTGTCGAGTTTGCATTGCACTATTACAATAAGTCACCTAATGGCAGAGAGCGTCAGTAATGCTGAGTTTGGAAAAGCTGACTTATCACTGTACAAATTGAAGCAACATAAATGCCTAGTTAATACTGTTCAGTGTTCTGTGGAAATACTGTTGTTTATTCCATTGACATCAGTGTCAGAGGTGATATAGTATAATAACTCTGAAAGCAGAAGGGTGCTTCTTAACTTACTGTTAGACTCTATTCCCCAACAGATATATATACCAAAACGTCCTGACGTTGGATGTGCTGGATTGGATTTCAGCCTCTTAAAACTGTTGATCGTTTCCTTTTTGGGTTTCTACTTTTATCCCAGGACTAAATAACATTTTCTTAATTAAAAAATTCCTGACAATGATTTTTTTTAATGAAAATTATTGTACCACATGAAAAACAAATTGTGAAATTAATATTTCAAAATGATTTTTCAGAATATAACTTTTGAAGCAGCTGAAGATGGACTGAGTCTGGATTTACCCACTAGTGAGGAAGCTTGTGCTGAAGTGAATTCAGATGAAGGTATGGCTTGCAAGTTGTAAAGAGGGATCGCTATATAGTTAAGTGCAACAATAAGTTGTGCTTCTAATTTAATTTATAAATCCTATCTAAGCTGCTTATTGGCGGAATGCAGACATTTCTGTGCATGCAGTTTTTAGTGGGATCAGCAGAATTCCTCACTCCTATATTTTTATATGCAGTACCGGTGGGGGTTACATTGTTTGTGCTCAATTATATTACTGCTGCCTTTGCTCTGTGATGGATCTCACCAACCAAGGTGTTTGTGCCCCTGAGCACTTGTGGGCGAATGAGAAAAAAAATCATATGTTGAACTCTAAGCTCAGAGTCTCGGCTGACACTCCAATGCGGGTCCTTCAGACGAGACATGAGACCAAGCTCATGGCTGCCTGAATGTTACAGATCCCATAGTACTATGCGTCGGCAAATACAGTCACTACACTTTACGGAAAATCTCTGTTGTGTATTTCAATCAAATTTTCTATTCAATGGAACTTTCTTAAGAGGGTCCTTTGAATTCATTACTTTTGTCTTGAAGAATTCAAAAAGATGACAGGTGTAGTACATTAGTCCAGAGGGAGCTGAATACCTCTGGAAAATAGTCCTAACCTGCAAATCCTACTGAGGCCAGCCTTTGATGCTATCCTTGCCTTGCCAATAAAGTGAGTTTCTCCCAGTATCCTGGTCAACAATACCCCATATAAAATTGGACATTCACTTCATGGCTGTTTGTGGGACATTGCTCTGAGCAAATTGGCTGCTTTATTCATCCATCCATGATATACACAGTCACTCCACTTTGCAGTATATCTTGTGAAGGGCTTTGGGACATCCTCCCTTTGTGATAGCTGGTATATCAATGTAAGGATTATTATTAGAACTATGCAGTAAACTTCAAGAAAACAAAACTTAATATGTTTGATATTCTCAAATCAAAGTCTCTGTCGCCCTCCGGCCACTCTTTCCCAGTTTCAACCCACCGACCGCCCCAGAAATCTAACTGAGATCATCATTGAAATAGAGTTCCTTCGACACATCTAAATATCTGTAGAATTCTTTAGTTACAAATCAATTCACAACTCTTGCAAATTAGACACTGCTATTGCACTGGCTCCTGAGAGTCCAGGAGTCAGTGCAATAACATCTCTTGTCTTGGTGGCTGAAAGCCCTGTGTTTATAATAATTGATGCTCTTGTTCTTTAAATCTGATCTGTTAATATATGTGTCCTGTTCTTGATGGATACACTGACCTCATATGGATCCAGCCGGAGCATGCACACATTGTGTGACCTCCAATTTGATATTGGTTCAATTTAAGTAACAATCTGCATCAGATGGGATATTTAGATCGTTATTCCCACCTTGATCAGCGTTACAGAATCAGATGGTCAGAGTGTGGGGTTGCAATAATGAGTTACTTCAAAAACTTACCATAAACCATTTCCGGAGAAGTACTCTAACATACATCAGAAATACAGCAGGTGGAGCTGTGTACTTAAGTTAGTTGAGTCTGAGCAGAGCAAAATAACACAGCTGTAATACAGGTTTCCTTACAACATATTGGGTTGTGGACACCACCATTTTTCTTATCTCCTTATCGCACTCCAATGGGATTTGAAGCACAATAACACATTTAGAAGTGTGACATAACAATCTGAAGTGTGATGTGGCCATGGGAGCAGATGGCCAGCTGGCTTTCTGTACACGTGAGGTGGAGTCAACAATCGTGATCAATGACATTAAGAAGCACAAGTGTTGACTTGCGGCAGCTCCTTCTCACATTATATGGCAGGGTGGAATTTTATTGATCCCTTCTCAAATCCCCTTGTCCCCTGCCAACTATCTCCTTATAATGGGGATCTCCTGTGTAGCTAAAAATTCAAGTGTTCATTATAAATCTGAAACAAAAGATAAGACAACATATATATTATGATCTCTTTTGGTTTTTAAACTTGTTCATCAGAGGAGTTAACCTGCACTGGTCCTAATCGCATTCTAAAACCTAGTTCAGAATAAATTGGTCACTCACCTCCTGTCTATTTGTGGGACTTTGCTATGCCCAAAGTGGCTACCATGTTTGCCTATGGATACATTCTCTATAGTTAATAGTAAATCTATGGCATAAATCAAGAAATATTCAATCAAGAGAATTTATTTTGTTGGCTGAAAAAAAAGATTGGCCACAACTGCGTTAAGGCCATTAGACTCACTGGCAATCATACTCTTTAAATTAGAGCTAAATGAGTTAAAAGTTAATCCAGAAAGCCTTTCTTCAGACAGAGGATTATGTGAATAGGAGAATGTACTGTCCCAGAAGGTATTAGATGCAGAATAAATTGTTGTTTTATGAGAAAGAGAGAAAAAGGGGTATTGATTGAGAAAGACAGAGAAATCAGATCAGAAAAATAAATTGATTTGAAATAATGTAATGGGTGAGCAGGCTAGATGGGATAAATGGTTACCCTGTATCTCTTATCTGAACTCACACCTGTCACCAGCTCGGACAGATATATTTATATTGCTGTCAGCAGTACTGCTGAGGTTGGTGTGTCTCAGATGCTCTGGGTGACTCCATTGCAATGCACATGCGAGAAGCTGACATTAGGGTAAAGTAAATGGGATGTGTGTTTTATACATTACTACTGCTGATAATAATAATAATCCTTGTCTCTTTTATTGCACCTATAAGGTGAAAATATCAAAGCATTTCACAGGGTTTTCTATAAAGTGTAGTGACTGCATTCTTTAAGTGCATTTGGCGGCTAATTTGCCCACAGCAATGATCCACAACTGCCTGTGAAGTGAATGACCAATTTTATCTAGGAGATTGTTGGCCAGGACACTGGAAGAAACCCCTTTTCTTTTCTAGTAATTTCCTGAGATCTTCAGCATCCATCTTAATAGGCAATGAAGATGTCGGTTTAACATCTTATCCGAAGGACGGAACCTCCGATAATCCATCGCTTGCCCTGTATTTGGAGTGTCGGAGTATGAGTCTGGCCCAGGAGCTCAAGTCCTGACTTGGAGCAAGAGATGGATTAAAAACTATAACAGTCTTCCCCGAATGGGGAACTCTTGTTAAAATGGGTCTTTTTCACAAACTTGTACATTGAACTAAATAGTGTCACATTTCAAGCAAGCTACAGATTGGATCACATTGCAGAATCATTGTGCCTGAATCCTCAGATAATATTTTACCTGCAAGCGATGCACTTGAGTCTTCTAGGTCTGCACTTACCTTGTGTACATACAGAGAAGCTCAATCATCAGAGGTTATTTGGCTGTTCTAAATCAGCCATTGTTCACAAATGAAGTGCGTTGGTTCTCTACTCAGTGGGCTTGATCTAGTTTACAGTTATTTCAAAACATTGTTTAATGTTTCTTATATCCTCATTCATGATTTCCATAGCAACAGGCTCAGTGTAGTCTGTGTGAGGGTATAAACTGATCAGTCTGACTCTTTGTAACTTTGCTTTAACAGATTGCTTTACAGATGGTTTAGCCAGCTTGTGGGGTTCACTGATTTGCGATCATCCAGTTCTTTTGAAATGTTTAATATGAAGGATGTACTGTATCATTTACAATGTGCTTGCTTTTTCAACTAAAATTGTGTTTCAGTCTAGCTCAGTGCAACGTTTTTGGAGTATTTATAATCTGAATTACAATTTACAGAGCCAAGGTTCAGAATATCCCTAACTCCCCTGGCCCCTCACCTTCTTTCCCTGCCCCCTCACTTGTCATCCAATGGGATGCAGTAACATAGGCATTGGGTGCTCTTTGGCATTTTGCCCAAGTGAGAGAGTGTTGAGTTTAACAAACAGTTGCCAGTTTTGTTGACTGCAGTGGGCATCACAGGCAAACTGTGATCGTGTCCTCAAACATGCACCTCTCTTTCAGAGTATTTGGATAGCGATCCAAGAGTAGGAACTCCGTCTGATTTTTTCCCCTTTTTAACCCAGGGTTGCTAAGTCCAAATTGACACAATAGTTTCTATCTCCTGCCTTGCTGGTTGAAACAACTACTCAGTTCAGTGATTTGAACATGTGGTCGGTCTCCTATTGTGAATGCCTCAGCATTGCTGCAGGTCAATCAATGGGGGAGTGACCAATGATTATAAATCAAAGTTCAATCTTAATGACGTAATCAGCAAATTCCTTCATCCGCGTAGAAAAAAGAAGTTGCCATTTTTAGACTCAGTGAACTGCTGAATCTGAGGGATAATCAGAGATTGGAGATGCTTATAATTAAAATTGTCATCATTGCGTTGGGTGAAAAAGGTGCAGTCAAACTGCAAGTCGAAGACTCCCCGAAGTGCTTATTCTATGTGCATTCTGAGTGAATGCAGTAGGTTTCGAGTTCAATTCAGAAGTCACCAAGCAATGATAAATTCAAAACCATTTGGAGAAGCATGTTTCATTCCAGTCGACATATTGAAAGTAACAATACTCCTATAATGTCTGTACAGGAACAGGTTAAATTGATTGAAATAACTTGTGCTGTAATTTATTCAAGGCTGTATTGTGCTGCGTTCCACATTTTCTATGTACGCATTGATAACATTGCACCAGAAACTATTGCAACTATTGTTTTTTTAAAAAAAAGTCAGCAAAATCTCCATGTGCAGAAAAACTGACCAAGCTCCACAGAAGGCGGTGACTAAACCTTGTGTTGTCAAGTAGTTACAATTTTTTTTCTTGCTCAGGAGCTTGTCAAGAGATCTCAACCAGTGGAACTGATGCACTATCAGGAAATACAGACATGGAAGCCTGTGCAGAGGTAATAACTTTCCTGTGACCCCAGTTAATAATGATAATAATAATAATCCTTGCATTTGATATAGCGACTTATCATGTCTTTGAGACGTCTCAAAGCACTTCACAGAATATGCTGTAAAGTGGATTGACTGTATATTTTGTGGGCAGTTAAGTTTTATCTTTTTTACTGATTCTGTCTAATGACACAAGTATAGCAGTTTTTAAATGATTTTGTTTTTCTCCCTTTAATTTTCTACCCACTTGCTGGAAGACACTGCCTTCTGGCTGGGTTATTGTCTTTTAATGACAATTTGGACTTGTATAGCACCTTTCACATAAGCAAACATCTCAAAGTACTTTACCAAACCTGAGTGGGAAACCATGCAAAGGAGTGATGTAAAAGGGAGATAACCAATGACGTAGTTGAAGAGGTAGGTTTTGAAAGGCAAGAGGGAGAGGCGGGGAGTTCCAGAGAGAAAGAGCAAAGTGTTTGAAAGGTCATCTGGCAATGGTGGGGCAGAGTCGGGGCATTCGGACAGGCACTGGGCAGTCCAATGCAGTAGGTTTGACTGATCATCCTCTAATACCTACCTAATTGGGAATTTGCCATAGATAAATGTAGACAGTAAGTGTTTGCAGTCTTTGTGACTAAAGGGACAAGACAGCTAAGCCTGATCCTGTTCTCATCCACACCTTTAAGTGAGAATCATTATTCTTCCCCTCCCTACCCTAAGCATACTGAAGATAATTGTGCATTATCACTCTAGCTATCTCAGTATAGATTTGTAATCGAGCTTGGGTCATTTCAATTCGGTGTGGCTTAGCTACAGTGAATTTTCTCAACTTGATGGGTGAGATGCCCATTTACTTAATGTTTGTGTTTGTCCAATATATAGCCTTATTCTTCAGGCTATTAACGATTCATTTGGATTTCTTTAACTGAGCTTCTAATGCTTTAAAATATATTTAGATTTTATGGACTCCATCCACTGCCGTGTAATAGGTCTTTGCTGTATAAAGGGGTAATCATTTTCCCCTGTTCAAGCATCCAGAGGTACAAAACTTTGGCTCTGATCAGAACTAGTGTTCGAATCAGGGACGCACAAGTGTGCTTGCCATACGATGGAACGACTGGAGGAAACATTTACATTGTGAGCAATTTTTCTGATCCCACCACTGATGTTGCCACTGGAGCACTTTACAAGATGCAATTGACTAATGAAACGATAAGGGATTTGTCCAGACTTTAATTATTCAGAATACATAAACTAATAAAGTAAGCAGCCCAGTTTGTAGCATAGCTGGGGATCAATGGTGATAAGGTGTAATTAGGACAATTAGGACAAGAACACTGAAACTCGCAAGTAATTCAGGTCAGATGTGAAGCCAGGATTTCCTTAAATACAGGGTTGCGCTGCTTTGGCCTTTGTTTGTCAGAATGTTTTTAGATGTAATCAACAAAGCGAAAGGTAAAAAAAAACTGAAAGGAAAACTCGCCCATACAAGTTGCTCATATTAATGTGACCATTGGAATAAACCGCATTTGAGATCAATACTGATATGGTAAATCCTATTTAAGGTCAACTGTTTTGTGCATAGAATAATTCCCATTTGCTGTAGTATATACTCTGCAGTATATGAAATTGTGCTGAAAGTCAATACTGTACTTCGGGTTCACAATTTTAGAATTGTGTCTCCACCGACTCCTTACCCCATCGCATATGGTCAAAGGTGTAGGTTTTAATGCGGAACTTGAATAATGATAGAGAGGGGTTGAGACAGGTGGTGATGGGAATGAGTTGATGGAAAGGCGATTGGGCAGGGGATCGAGAAAGGGCGTTCAAGAGACTAAGGCTGTAGAATCGGACTCAACGTTGTGATATTTCGGGCAGAGTTTTAATTACTTTCGGTCCAAGATGATTCAGCACAGTGATGATTAAGACAACAGCAGCAACAACTTGCACTTATATGGCACCCTCACGCAGGATAGCATCTCAGAGCGCTTAAAGGCACTCAGTGCCATGGATTAAGAAGACCTGCTATCATCTTTTATATAACTAATTTCATCTCCATTTTCCCCTTTCTTTAGTTGCTGAGTATTTGTGCTTCAGATGAAGCAGATTTTTCAGTGGATGAAGATGATCCAACCTCACTAGATTCAGGTAAGGAAGAGCAATCAACCAGACAGGGATATTGAAGAGCATTTTATCGTAATTCTCTATACATGTGGAAACTCTGCATGTCTTGGATTGAAAAAGATGTAGAATGTTCTTGTTTGGATACACTTAAGCATAGCGATGGGTTTCCGCACGTGTCAGACACCCGCTGACCATAAGAAGAGAATGTAAGAGGACGTAAAGAAGGAAATCTGTAGGATTGAGATAATAGGAAAGAATGAGTTTGAGTAGCTGACAGAGAGGCACGGCTGATTTTAATATAGTATGTCTCACAAGTCGAGAGGAGTCAGGTTCCTGATTCTCCAGATAGATGTCTTCCTAACTGATTGGAGCATGACAGTCTGGAGACCTACCAAATAACTGGGAGTCAGGATAGCCCTGGTGACTTGTGAGATACAGCACAGGAAAGAGGCACTTGCTTGGGCCACCAATCCTTATCTGCCAATAATCTTTAGATGTTTTCCTGTATGAAAGGTGCTAAATAAGTGCAGGATGTTTTTGAGTTTGCATTTGATATAATACTGTATTTCTGCATAACTGACTTTTGTGATTTTGTGTACGGATAGTTCCGTTTTGTAGTTTTGATATTTTTTCGTTAACTAAACGTGTTTCTAATCTAGAATGACCATCGAAGTGAGAAACCTTAAATCATGTGTTATAAGTCATTAATAGTCTAACAAACCTGGTGATGTCAGCAACATTGCTTCAGAGACGACAGCGATGACCTATATGATCCTCCCACCATGAGGAGCTACGTGATTGCGAAACTGGAATTACCAACACTTTGTCTTTAATTAACAGGAACATTCTGTAACTAAAGGAAATAATGAACCAGTTTTTACTTGACATTTTTTAAATATTTCACCCAATAGCAGTCCCGAACACCTCCCATCACCCCCCTCCATGCTAGGGATATAAAGCTACTCAACGTAAGTCTTTCCCTTGGACTCTGAAAGATCATCATTTAAGCTTCAATAACATTGATACAAAACACAAACCTGTATACATAATATCTGCTTTGTTGGATTTATGAATCTAGAGAGGATGTAATTTCTTTCTCGCCTCGCAACTTCCAGCAATGTCCACTTG